CCTATTCCAGTTTCCCTGAGATCTATAATCTCCAGCTATTCAAATGTAATGTCAATCGACATCTCCAGTTGCCTTGATCTATCCACTACCCTTCTCCTCATCCTTTACTCTATCACTCCTATCTGCTCTTGCTCCAAATCTTCTGTAACCCCTTGCGTCCTAGTGTCTTCCCGCCTTGCTTGGGGTGAAACGCTTAAATATATATATATATATATATATATATATATATATATATATATCAGAGACTCTATAATATATGTAAATATTTTTAAAACGACCTGACAACAACCAACTAATTGACTGCTTGCTTTAAATGTCTTTTCTTTCAGCCTTAAATGTCTTTCTGACAACATTTTTGGCTTCATACTATCATTGACATCGCTATTGCCTGCAAAAGGTCGTGAAAAATTATTGTCAGTTGAGCACTTTTGAAAATTCTTGTTTTTGCTTGATTATTTTCCTCAATTGCTGATAAGCCCTGAAGAGTGGATGAACGGGTCCGTCTACGAAACTCTGGAGTCGGGATGCTGAAGGTAACATCAGTCAGCTAATAGACAAACTTTTACTTATATTGATTTTCTAGATAGATAGATAGATATAAGTATTCATTATTATATGACAAATACATGCGATTTGTATCTGAATTGGATAAAATTTCCTCATGGTATATTTATTAGCATTTACGGCGCAGACGTAAGCTCATTACATACGCATATCAAACATAGAACTGAATTGATCAATAAATAAGGACGAATCGCTTACATACATATATAGATATGTCGGACGATTAGCATTGATCTATAGGCATTCAAGTTATCAGTGAATGACGCATGTAACTCGAGGTAGGTAATTTTATATCATAAAGTAAACCTGAACACAAATACACATAGGTACACATACACACCTATATCAATGCACACACATACCCACAAATATATATATATATATAATCGTAAAAGGACACTTCCCAGCACGATAGTTGACAAGTTCGTCTTCCAGATCAATTCGCTCTACCGGACGCCCTACCGCCGTGGCTTTGTATGAGAATGAGTTTTATTTTATAGATTCTTACACACGGGTGGGTGGGGGGATATAAAGGCTCCAGGGCGGGGAGCTGTGATGCTGGAATATTATTCTTTATATACAGACTACGATCCATCTTTTGAGTTGGGCAGTCTTCGAAAGGAGGAATGACGTTTTGAAATATGGGAACAAAAAAGAGAAAAAAAACATGTTTAGTGATATACGTGAGTTACTCAGCATCAATGGTTTCGAAATTCATATTCTCACTCAACTTTCAAGTCTTTTTTTCCCTAAATTAAAAGATATTTCTTCATAAAAATGAACATAAATAAGCTTCATATAAGTATATATATATCCATATGGCCTGATATCTATATATAAGATTCTGTGACTTCCATTAGTCTATCCTTCACACTATCTAAAATAGACAGACATTGAACGATCGAAACCAAATTTTGGTGAAAAGTGCAAACAGGCAAGGGGTGGGGTACGTAATATGGATTGTTTTACTAGGGGAGGTAGCTTAGTACAATAAATTTTTATTAATCTTTTTTGAAATATACAAAAGGTACCCACTATTTAAAAAAAATCAATTTAATGATGAAAATAACAAGTACTTATTTAATAAAAGTATAATATTGTTTTTGCATGTCTTTTCTTTAAGTTTTTAGATACAAGAATCCAGTTTCTAGTTCGCCCTGCGTTTGCGAGAACTATAAACAAATCACGAGGGAAAACAATTAAAAAAAAGGTCGAATTTGGCTCAAGAAATAAATATTTACTCATGCCAGTTGTATGCTGCACTCTCAAGAGTAAGAAATCCTAATTTATTCTTCGTTGTTATAAAGGAAAAAAAATTCTTAAAATATATTGTTTATCATGATGTCCTATAAAATTAAATTAAATTAAAGAAGTTATTAAAACGCGAAGTGGGATATTTGTCAAAGTATTTTCCAAACAAATCAGCTTATTCAAATTTCATCGATTGGTATGCGAAATTGAACGAAACGTAGAGTTTGTAAATCACGACAAAAATGTTAGCGATGACTTCAACAATATTAAATACTGGAAGGATTTCAACACGCATCAGCAAGTTAAAATTCTAAAGTTCTAAAACCATGGCATGTGGAACTAGAAAAGTCTACCCCAGTGAGCGAAATAAAGGGTTCAATTCGACATTCCAACCACCTGAAGAAGGCCAGAGCGTACAACGGCCGAAACGTAATAAATCTGGCGACAAAGATGAGGACAATAGTCCGAATAATGTAAATAATGTAAATTCGATTACCATAAAAAATACAACACATCATCTGAGACCGATCTAAATGTACCAAATTAAACAAAAACACCATTGGGACGCAAAAGAGATCCTGTCAACAAATTGATAACATCAAGAAATGCGCATTTTTGTTTCGTTGAAAATCCACAAAATCATCGGAGATTACTCACTATATGGAACTATTCAAAATCCATAAAACTGGATACCCTACATGATCCATCCTTTCACAGATGCAACCACCTATTTAGGAGACGTCAGTACTCCATACTCACTCATATCAATTCATAACTCCCTTTAAATTATAAAAATTTACAACCAATTCAAGGTAATTTAGTATTACTCGACGTTGAAAAGAATAGCTATACATTCAGCAGCATTAAAAACAAGACCTGACAAAGGGCAGATGAAGCATCTTGTAGAGTCAACGGCCATCTAGAACAATGAAATAGGCTGAGGCCCCATGGTTAGGTATGTAGCCAGTGAGGTGATGACACGTTATCGCTGGCCGGAGAGGCTTACTTGACTGACGTCAACGATAGAATCAACACCCACGTGTCCATGATCAAGGCGAAACTTTGTTTGTGGGTTAACCTGGAGAGGAATGAGATCAGCTAGGTCCACTTGCCCAAGACACACCAAGTATGAATCAATATTCTCCCGGCTTTCGTTTCGATATATATATATATATATATATATATATATATATATATATATATATATTCGAGCCTTATATATACTTTTTTTGACGCGCCGTTGATGAAGGACACAGGCGTGCCCGAAAATTCCGGACTTAAAACCTTTATTTTCGTGCTTCATTTCTGTCATATGGTTAATAATTCATATATATATATATATATATATATATATATATATATATATATATATATATATATATATATATATATATATATATATATATATATATATATGGTTTCACTTGTTGATTAGGAAACCCGTGGGTCTAACAATTCTTGGAGCTGAACCATCAGAATACCTCGTATATGATTTGATTTTAGCCACATAGGCTTATGCAGAACCGATAACAAAGAACAGTGTTTACACTATTGACATTGTTCGGACTATTGTTCTCATCTTTAGTGTCATATTCACAACGTTTCGGCCGTTGTACGAACCGGCCTTCTTCAGGTGAGATACGTTGGAATTTCGAATCGAAACTGGGGTAGATTTTTCTAGTTCCATATGCCAGGCCTTATCTGGATATTTCCCTTTAGAAACTCAACTCTTGTTTGTTCGTGTTCACCTCTGCTGTGGCCAGGTATTGAACTCTCAACGTCGTGAATATGGCAATAAAGATGAGGATAATAGCCCGAACAATGTAAATATTTACAATATCACAGAAATATAGACAGATATCAAAGATCAGTGTGTTGCGAAGTCTCCCCAGGTTTTAGCCTTTTACTAGTCTGGTTAGTAACCTAGGCTAAAATCCCAGTCTGATCTGCTATTTAATCCATAGCAGGAGGAGAGATGGATTCATGCCTTTCACAAGAGTATTTCAGCGAGTGTGAATGTAATTCACTCGACCTGAATTCCAACCCGGTTTGCTGTCTTCGTGTTCTGAACCGTTAATCAATACACCATCTGGATACATAATGGATTTTATACATTGAGAAAGAAAATGGGTGACAGAGAGGAAGAGAAAAAAATGAGTGTGTATTTTTGTGTGTGATAGAGAACGAGAATGAGAGAGAGAGTGAGAGAAAGAGTGAAAATGAGTGTGAGGGACAGTGAAAGAGGGCCCGCGCGCACGAGAAAGTAAGTGAGAGAGAGTGCGAGAAAGAGACTGAAAGTGAGTGATAAAGAGAGTGTGAGAGAGCGTGAGATAGAATGAGAGAGTGAGAGTAAGTGAGAGAGGGTGTGAGGGAGAAAGAGAGTGATAGAAAGGGTGGAAGTGAGACAGAGAGTTAGAAAGCGCGCGCGAGAGCGAGAGAGCGAAAAGAGGCACGCTGAGAACGATTTTCTGTCCCGCCTTGCTCGGCTATCATCGTTTCGCATCGTATGCAAGTGTCGATTTCGTTATAAATGTAACCGGATATTCCCCGTGTGTCCTCGCCATTCAAATCATGCCTATTTTGTCTTTGGCTCTTCTTCATCAGTCCTGAAGCAAAGGCATTTAGGTCCCCGGTAATGCAGGCTGGTATATCTACCTTCAGACTCTATGCTGAGGCGTATATCTATTCTATGAATAGGAGGAAAAGAACGCTGATCGTGGAAATATGACAAATATTTCAGCTTCGAATGTTATTTAAAATGATGATCATTTCAAATGAAGCCATCTTTATTTTGGTAATCATTTTTAGTAAAAATCATCTATGAATTCGGAGAAAAGACACTGCATTAAAAAAAAATAACTCTATCTGGAAAGGATACAATCATGGGTAGGTTACTCGCAGTTTCTCTCTATAAATCTTTTGTTTCAATATCTCCTGTGGCTTACGGCTATATCACGTTGAAACACTGGCTCCCGTAAGAAGTTAAGAAACATCGAGCCTGGTCAGTACCGATGGGTACTGTAAGCTTGGATGTGTTGGTTGTATGGCTTACAGCTGTATCAGGTTGAAATACCGCTTCCCGTACGATAACTAAATGTAAGCAACGTCAAACCTGGTCAGTACCTAGTTGGGTGACCGCTTGGGAATAACACGTGCTGTAAGCTTGTATGTGCTGGTTGTATGGCTTATGGCCATATCGCGTTGAAACACCGGTACCCGTACGATCACCGAAGTTAAGCAACGTCGAGCTTGGTTAGTACCTAGATGGGTGACCGCTTGGGAATGCCAGGTACTGTAAGCAAGGATGTGTGGATGGTCTAGTAGATAATGACTCGAAATTGTTAATCGGAGAGTCGAGTTCTAATTTTAGTTGGGTACGTTATAAACAACTACTTGGCAAATACCCTTGGCAAATTCACTTTCTTCTTTCCCCTGATATGTGAATCAGTAAAGCTTCTATCACATTATTATCTCAAAAAATTCTTATATGCTAAAATTATTTTCTGGATTTAAATGTAAATGGTTGATAAGCCGTAAAAAACAATCAATTAATGAATGAAATACTGAGTAGCTACGCAGGTAGATCTTTAATATTTATTTGCATTTTCTGGAAAAACAAAATTCATACATTAAGCAGGATCAGCCGCTGTTAAAATTTCCCTTTCTCCATAGTGCTCAATCGGCGAATGAGAGTAAGTTCTCCACATACAGACTATTTCGCTGTATAACAGGTCATATGAGATTGAGCCACAGAGATTGAGCTCATATGAGATTGAGCCACAGAGATTGAGTTCATATAAGACTGAACCACACAGATTGAGCTCATATCAGATTGAGCCACAGAGAATCGAACGATCCTCACTGGCTCAATCGGTTTAGGCACGTCAGGCTATATGACAGTTCCGTATAGGATACAGGTTCGATTCCTATCAGAGGACGAATATTTTCTATGAAAATTTCTCAGACATTCAGGCTGGTAAATGTTATTAATACTGATTATTATAAACAGACCATTTACTTAATTATTTATATCTATAAAAAGAATGTATAAAAATAAAAATGTCTTAATATATATATATATATATATATCTTATATATATATAAGCCAGTGAGAAATAAAGAAATTGTTTTGCTAATCATTAATTTCATGTTCAAAAATACATTTTTGTAATAAAATAGGCCAGATACAACATCTCAGATTGAGTCATTCATAGAACCATCACTAGTGAATGTTGTAATACTCAAGATCACTTTAGGAGGCTTTTGAAATCATCGTCAAAACAGGAGACCATCTCGATGACCTTGAAAATAAATAAAGGTCTATCAATTCGAGAAAGGCTATTTAAAAATCCCAAGTTTTTTTGTTTTTTTTTTTACAGTCCAAATGCCACCGTGCTAACATTCGCTTATAAAGAGAAAGAAATTGGAAGTTCAGGTCGATAAAGAAAAATTTCAACATACGTTTCAGTCAACTTGAGCCTAGAATATATCTCCACAGATCTTACGAAAGGTGGAAGACATTTTAACAATTCACAAAAAGAAAAACCTACAAGTGTTTCACAGGCAGGTTTCGCGATGAACATCAATAGGTATAGGTTTTGTTTTTCGAGCAAATCCTTGATAAACCTCTGCTTTGTGCGCACATTCATGCTAGATTCCATTTTACCAGACTGTCACTCTGCTACTCTATATAATAACAGACACAAAATTGAATTACTGACGAGAGGTTGAAGCCCTCTCCTGCCGTAATACCAACATCCGTATCTGATGCAGGAAGCATTCGGAGTGATCTTGTGTATATATGTATTTGCCAGCGTCTACAAAAACTTGCTTTAAAAGATGAATGCAACTTTGTATGTATATGGGATGTAGGTATATATGTGTGAATGTCTTTGTGTATATATCGATATCTGTGTGAGTCAAACTATGGAATCATCGAAGTGTAATAATTTGTTCTTGGCTATGTTAGTAAGTCCTCGGTCATGTAAGGGAAATGAAATTAAAGATGTTCTTTTAGTTAGACATTTTTGTCACGTCGTCAGTGTTTGCAGTCATTTATTTGTTTGCGTCTTCCAATTTGTATGTAGAGGACACACAGACAGATACAAAATGATAAAGAAAGGACGACGCAGAAGGAGAAATAGAGTATTAGAAAGAAAGAAAGAAAGAAAGAGGAGAGAAAACATAGGGACAAAAGAGAATTAGAGATAGATAGATAGATAGATAGATAGATAGATAGATAGATAGCGACCTATATAGATAGAAACATAATGAGATAGATAGAAACAGAATCATATAGATAGACTGATATATAGAAAGAAAGAAAGAAAGAAAGAAAGAAAGAAAGAAGGAGAAAAGGTATGGGGACAAAAGAGAATTAGAGATAGATAGATAGATAGAAACAGAATAAGAAAGAAAGAAAGAAAGAAAGAAAGGGAGAGAAAAAGCATGGGGACAAAAGAGAATTAGAGATAGAGGGAGAGAGAAATATATTATATAGATAGATAGATAGATAGATAGATAGATAGCGACCTATATAGATAGAAACATAATGAGATAGATAGAAACAGAATCATATAGATAGACTGATATATAGAAAGAAAGAAAGAAAGAAAGAAAGAAGGAGAAAAGGCATGGGGACAAAAGAGAATTATAGATAGATAGATAGACAGATAGATAGATAGATAGATAGATAGATATAAACAGAATAAGAAAGAAAGAAAGAAAGGAAGAAAGAAAGGGGGAGAAAAAGCATGGGGACAAAAGAGAATTAGAGATAGAGGGAGAGAGAAATATATTATATAGATAGATAGATAGATAGATAGATAGATAGATAGATAGATAGATAGAAACATAATCAGAAAGAAAGAAAGAAAGAAAGAAAGAAAGAAAGAAAGAAAGAGAGAAAGAAAGAGAGGGAGAGAGAAAGAAAGAAAGATAGAAAGAAGGAAAGAAAGCAAGCATAAGGACGAAAGAGAGAGAGAGAGAGAGAGAGAGAGAGAGAGAGAGAGAGAGAAAGCGGGGATGACTGATAGACTGATAGGTGGGGAGACCCATAAACAGACAAAAATAAAGATGGAATAAACAGAGATTGACCGACCGACAGATAGATTAGACTGGGAAACAGATTGATAGACAGACAAACAGTTCGTCAGCAATAATCGAAATAGTCTTGCTCTATGTGCCATGTCCCTTCAGGTCGCTTGCGATCATGGCTCTCCACAATTTCTAGTCTTTTGTAGTTTTAGTAAATTTTGTCGTTTTGTTATCTTTCCTAAACCCTATTCTGCTATCCATTTACTTAAGCTCACTAAGTAGGTTATGCATTGTTTCCCTCTTCTGTCTTATGAGTATCAATGGCTCTCCCCTATTTCCACTCCTTCTTTCCTTTGTTTCTTTCTCGCTATATTAACCAAGTTTCCTAAGTTCAATATTTGACTCTCACGTTCATTTCCAGACCTCAAGAAGAACTCACATCGTCGTCGTCAGCACTCGTTCGGATCCGATCATCGGGATCGTCATCCTCTTTCGCTATTCCCTTCCTCCTCCCTGGTGGCGGTGATGGAGATGGCTGTGAAGGCACAGACTATTCCCCTTTGGTGGAGGTGATGGAGATTGCTAAGAAGGACCAGACTATTCCATTCTGGTGGCGGTGATGGAGATGGCTGTGAAGGCACAGACTTCTTCCCTCTGGTGGTGGTGGTGGTGGTGATGGAGATGGCTGTGACGAGCAGGAGTCACAGAAGAGTATGGATGGTGGGTCCTCTTCATGTGTATGGTTGGAGTCGAAAATCTCGGTCAACCCCGACCCTTGAATAGTCCTACGCTAGCAAGGCTGAGTTGCTGCAACGGTTTCCCAGGTCTCAGGGTCGATGTTGGCCTGTGTCAAGGATGGCTTCAACTGGTCCCTTGAAGCGTCGTTTTGGGATTTCGCATAGCCTCTTGCCGCTGGTGAGTTCTCCTAACAGGATGATACGTGGGAGTTGAGTGGGACGCATTCTGGATACGTGCCCCTCTCAACGGAGACGATATTGAAGGATGGTAACCTCGATGCTGGAGAGAGCTGATTGAAGAGGATCTCACTGTTATTGATGCGGACTTCCCAACTCATGCCAAGGATTCTTCGGAACTTCAAATCAAATAAAAAATCAAATCCGAGACTCACATATGCAATCCACTGAAAAGATGATAGGAAAATCTTTGTTTCATTTTATAGCTTCACGAAGCAAATACAAAATGCCGGCAGTAAATAATACTCGGGTCAATGACTAAAAATGGCTTCAAGCAAATAAAACTTTGAAATCTTAAAGAAGACAATCCGTCATCATGTCCTCGAGTCAGGCGCTACACAATCATAAAGAGCTTCATCACATAACAAATCCACATCACTTGAAGACTTCCAACAGCAGCAACAACAAAAATTGGCAGTATAGATAGAAAATAAAATAATGATGTAATATTAGCTTTCCGCTCTACCCAAAACAAAACGCTTGAAAGGAAGCTTCTATCAATATTAGAATGGCGATAACAGTTAATGGACTTGAAAAACCTAAATTCTAATAAAACATTTCTTATGAAAAAAAAAAAGAATTTCAACCAACATTAACACTAAACGTTCGGTCTTTTCATTATTAAACATTACAAGGGTTGACATGTCGTAAAACCAATCAACTAATCTACTGAGTAACGAGTTCGTTTCTCATTGACTGGCCATATAACATTCGACATTAAACAACCCAACAATAGGGTGACATGTTTCACAATCAGCCAATTCACCCTAACATACCCAGTAGTGAGTTCAATCCTCCATAGGAGCATCATGCAAAGTTTCGGCATTAAATAATATAACGATTGACATATCATAAAATCTTACGAGAGAGAGAGAGAGTAAGAGTGTGAGAAAGTGAGAGTGAGAGAGCAAGAGAGAGTAGGAGAGACGAAAGGGAAAGAATGAGAGAGATAGAGTGAGAGTAAGAGTGCGAGAGAATGAGAAAGAGTGAGGAAGATATTGGTTTGGTTTTGTTTAGTTGCGGCTTATCAATATTTATATGGGTCATTTGTAAGAGAAAAAAATGAGGATGAGTGGGGTCAAAAAGTGCATTTTTTTTCTTCTTTTTTCTTCTTCGGTTGCCTCAAGGAAATGAATTGCGTGACTCCCTTTCTCAGCCGTTACTCTGGGCAGTTGTGAAACAGACACCAACTCAGTCGCGCCTACTTCGACTTCCTCTTTGTCTGTCTGTCTGTCTGTCAATCGGTACATCCAACTCTAACATACGCAGTCCGCCGAATGACTTTTTCTTTCCGTGCTGCTGGCACCCCGCTTTTTATGCTATTCCAAGACGGACAAAATTTGCATGTGTACAAATATCGTTTTGTCTTGGACGAGATAGGCGCGCATAAATTGTGTCTTCAATAGCGGCCATATTTCTTTTTTGTCATCACTTTGCAGGCAAGACACGTTCACGCTCATTTCGAATTCTGAGTTAAGTCATATCTTTCGTCACATCATTTAATGTCGATGTCTAAATATTTTGTCGGCAGATATTTTGCACATAATTTTATACTTTCAGGACAAACGTATTTTTTTTTTTTTAGATATATAGTTTATAGTTTTTAAATATATAGTTTGTAGATGATAAAATGTATTGTTGGTAATTTACTAAAAATGTATTTTTTTTATTTTAGTCCTGTAATGATTCTCATTTTGGTATAAAAATGTGTTAATACATTTTCTTAGCAAATATCAAAATACTATTTTGAAATAGATCGAACCTTAACAGGTGCTACCACCCCGGTTCAGGGTAGAGATGAGAACAACAGCAATCAAGAGGTGGTTCCACGCTCTTCAACATCGGCAATCACTCGGTCAGAGGCTTAGATAGATAGATAGATAGATAGATAGATAGATAGATAGATAGATAGATAGATAGATAGATAGATAATTGTTGTGTAGGAACCTACCACCCCTCTTGAAGATGAACTCGTCTAAACAACAAGGACGTTAAAGAGTGGCATGTCAAAAGACAGTGTCGGAGAAGTTCTGGGCTGAGTTAGTTATAGACTACTCAGGCGATTTCTGTACCAACTTACCAACCGAATAAACCCCATTTTATTGTTACATGTTATTTGGCGTTTGTCTTTATTAACCCCAAATTAACATCATAACAATAATGAACAGATGGAGATAGATAGATAGATAGATAGATAGATAGATAGATAGATAGATAGATAGATAATGAACAGATGGAGATAGATAGATAGATAGATAGATAGATAGATAGATAGATAGATAATGAACAAATGGAGATAGATAGATAGATAGATAGATAGATAGATAGATATCTGTTGTCGGATGTAGTTTATCGTCATACCCAGGAGTAGAGAGAAGCGGGTGAAGAGAGAGATTATGCTGCGTGAGTGAAGTCGAAAAAAAATAAAATAAAATAAAGACCATTATTTTAAGCCAGTGTAAAATTCCTCAAAGTAAAGTGAAAATGATTTCTTCAATCGCTTTTATTTACTGTTTTCAGCGTTCAATAGACGTCAAACATGTGGTATTAAATCTGACAGAAACTGTAGGTGCTGGCGGGAAAAAAAAATTAGGGGAAAAAATGAAACACATGATAATACAGAGGGTAAGACACTCAGTTTGCCGATGGTGGGGGCGTCGAATTTGAAAGCAGAGAATAAGCTGGCTTCAATGGGCGTGTGTGAAAGCAAGGTGTTTGAGACCGAGTCTGCCCTACGTCTATAAGCGGGTTCGACTCGATTGTCTTGCAGGTATTAAGAATCGTTGAATGTTGAAAATTATCAGTAGCGTGTGTAACTGGCACTGGTCCACTGACACCATTTCGATTTGGCTGAAGATACTTTAGCGGGTATGTTTGTGACTGAACGTGGGTAGATAGTTGAATTATCTTCCTCCCCTTTCTCCGGCGAAAATTTCTCCTTGGCCTTTCCAACACCCTGGCAGCGATCCAGGTGAAATAATAACACGTGTTCGTAGTGTCAGTCTCGGTCCACCTTTTGGATTTGGGCTTGGCGCCTGTCCAGAAATAGCGGCGGAAGGACTGACCAATCAGCTTGACTGGCTAGTGAGGTCTGCGCACGCGCGACGTGAGAGCGTAGATGGTGTGCAGTGAGAAGCGGAAACGTGCGTTTGTTTGTTCACTTTGCATGTACGAGGACATAAAGTCACACACACACAAACAGACGCACGCACAGGCACAAAGACACACGCACAAAGACACACGCACATACACACAAACACACATACATACACACAAGTACACACACACTTAAACGTATACACGCACTGTTTAAATGGCGTATCCAGTTGATGATGTTAAAATGGCAACACTTCAAATGGCTGCTTCGTGGGATGATGGTCAAATGATCACTTGGGTTTGTTTTTTTTTAAATCATTTTACCCAAAGCAAGGCAATAAAGCCACTAAGATGCCAGGGTCATTGAGACTGAAAGAGAATGAGAGTGTTTTGGTGAGGAGAAAGGACAATAAAAGAATAATTTTCAGGAAAACAGAACATGGCGATTGACATTGCCTTTATATGTGGAGTTGGTACTACATGTCTACTTGAGGTGGGGAATAATTTTCAAATGACCACTCGAGAAAGGAAAATGTTCTAGTTGGGTAATTATTTTCAATTGATCACCTTACGGAGGGAATGTTAATCCATTTCGATGATCCGTCCTGGGTAAGACGATAAACTACGTCCAGCAGAAAGGCCTCTCATCAGAAGGTTTTGAGGAGCATGGAACCACCTCTTAATTGCTGGTATTCCCAGGTTCACCCTGACCCGGGGTCCCATATTCTATTCATACGAATCTATCCTAAAAATGTTGTCGGCATTAAATAACCACCCAATGAGGTTGATATACCATAAAACAAAATAAACCAAACCAAACCTTTTCGATGATAATCCTTTTCGATAGCAATAACTGAATCCTTTTCGATAACTAGAGCTACGGAGTCGAAACAAAAAAATCTCCAACTCTTCTCTTTCTAATTAAATAATTATGGCTTACGTATCTCATAAAGTACTCCTAATTTGAGTAACCTGTATTATTATAACTGGATTATATGAAAGAATAAGGATATATGGCTTTTGAATATCATTCCAATTCATTCTTTAATATTTTCTTACAGAACTGAGACATTTTTGAAAGGATATAGAAGAAAA